ATAATAACAACCAGTGTGTGATTGGAAGAGGAAAGTGCTAAATAGAGAAAAATATTAAATAAAATGCATTCTTGGTGGACCAGCGCAGGAGCAAGTTAAAAGTATTTCTAGATTTCGACATGCTGTTTAAAGATGCGCTTGTATGTTTTAGTCCCAAAATGAGAAGATTTTGTTGTTTTAAAATGAAGACACAAAAGCAGAAAAAAACAACCTGTAAGTGCAGTAAACTGAATGTAGTGCCATGTTTAGTGGAAGTGGCACTTAGGTTTCTTTACACGTCTCAGGCTGCTTATGATCTGTTTTTTAAACAGTTTATTAAAGGTAATAAACTATTAATGCTTTAATAATTATTTGGAATTAAGGGCATTATAGTCAGTCTTATTGCTTTATTAGTTTGACACTTCTTGACTTGGTGGAAAATGTTACGTTTCCCTGGATAATGATCCAAATCTTGACAAGCCCTTTGTTTGCTTGTCTTTTCATTATGTACTGTGCAATGTGGAGATTTAACTCTTACCCAGGTTCTGAGGATCTTTCTCTCTCGCCTCCCACATTTTGCTGTCTGTGTAAGCCGCTGAAAGCAACCATCGTCGGGCTGTGAAGAGAAATGCACACATCAGTCAAATATTTGGGCAAATGAGTTGCTCATGGCTTTAAAATGACAGGAAAACTCAAATGCCGGTTAGTTTAGCTTCATGTTGTTAGCTAACGTTACCATGAACTGAGGGCATTTAGCTCCACCTCTATGAACATTCAAATATTGACCGTAAAAAAAAAAAAATAGACGTTAAACATGAAACTAAAATTAAATCATACTCTATATTGAGTCTTAACCAAATGCATGATGTGTCTACCTGAAAGAGACGGAGATAAACTTTTAACTTTGACACCAGCAGTCGCACATCGCTTCAACATGGAGGCTGCCATATTAGACGATACCATGTCGTGGCAGGCGCCGGGGGAGTTTGATGACCGGCAAAAGTGGATTATACCAAAAGTGACAACAGGAAAGCAGAAAAGTTTTTTGTTTGGTTTTTGTTGTTGTTGTTTGTTTTGTTTTTTGTTGCTACCTATAAAAACAAATTAAAACTTAAAACTTATTTATAAACACAATTCGTACATGTTTATGAGTCAATGAATTATTAATGAAGTTAAAATGAGATATTATTGATATTTAATTTAACTTAATCGAATAATTTTTACTGTTCTACCTTGCTGTGTGCACCAAGCAACAAAATACTTTACAGGAAATGTTTTGATTTCCTGAAATTTATCAGGAATGACTTGCAGATAATGTAGAGAATACACACTTCCAGCCTACTAACCACAAGTTTCACCACAAGGTTGCTAACTTCCACTTTGGTATCAGCTTCTACGTGTAGATGAAAAGCGATAAACATTTTCTGATCAAAATAACTTGAAAACGTTTTTATTTAAGCAACAAAGAGTTGATCTATCTATCTATCTATCTATCTATCTATCTATCTATCTATCTATCTATCTATCTATCTATCTTTAAATAATAAACTATAATACTTTGCAGCTTGTTACATTTGGTGTGATGTATGTGTAATTCATTAATATTAGTTTATATTCTATTTTTGACATTTTTGGGATTTTTTGGATTCAGTTGTTTACATATTTCTTGATTGGCTTTGGTAATTAAAGTCACATCAAAATGAAAGAGAAGCTACTTTTGGTCACTCCCAAAATCTGTTAAACATAAATAATATTCTATGTTGCAAGCGAGAGTGAAATACTTGAGAAGAACCTGCTCTTTGACAATAGAGGGCACTGTTCATATAAGAAAGAGACAGAACAGGAAAACACACACAGCTGTAAAAGTGAAGGAGCTTCACTTTGCCATGCTGTGTTGCACATAAAGCCATGAAGAGGTCCATTGCTAGTTATTGAGCACCACTGCTTCATCAAGCTTTTCAATAGGGCTTACTAGATCTGTCCTCTCATGTTCATGAGACTGCAGGCAGCCCCAAAAATACTAGCAAACCACCAAAATTAAGCAGGAAGTTGGACATAAATGTGGAGTTGAGTTGTCTTACTTTGTTTACCTAAATGTGCATTAATTTGTCCGTAAAAAGCTGTTGCCCCCGTCACCTCTGTGTTTGTCAGCCAGTATTTTTGTTCAGCTGCAGGAGGACAGCCCTCAGCTATTATTACAGTTAGCTCCTTGGCTGTGGGTCAAAGGAGGTGACAGGTTGAGACTAGGGTGGGACCACTCTGTTAAACAAAACATGGAAGAATTTTAGCACCATCTCATTTTCTCAGTGACCAGCAAAACAGGAAATTTGTACCTGAGATGCATTACAGTGTAGTCACTACAAGTAAACAAGAAGTGTACCATTCAGTTCCATTACTGGGATTTCTGATATCATCTTGTGCCTTTCTGTTTTGCCATTATGCAAAAGGCCATACAAAGTCTACAGAACCTTTATTGAAAATCACGTTTTAAAACCCACACTTCTCTCATCATGTTAAAAAAAGGTATGTTTGTGGTTTAGAGATGAAAAAAAAAATCAGAAGTATTTGTTTTCAGGATCTTGCTTACGGGCAGCCCCTTGCTGCTTCCCTTTTCTATTTCTCATCCATAGTGTTAGAGGACGTTGGTGCAGGTTGGTGCGATGTGATAAAAGAACTGCATTATACAGGGAATGACAAAGCATTTTGTAGGGAGGCTTTTTATGCAATAGATGTGAACTGTCATTGAACACATGCATGCTTGACCAATAGTATGTGTCTGCAAAATATAATGGATAAATTTATCATATAAGGATAGCTAGGATGAGCAGCGTGATAGTCTGAATTTTATCTAATTTGTATTTAAGACATTAAATAAATGTACATTACACAATGAGACAATTATAAGAATCTCTAAAAGGAGAAACAATTTTAGCCACATTATAAAAAGTTACAAGTTACAAATCCTCAGTCTGGTTATCAACTCATCCTGAGTTCCTTCTTGAATGTGCATGATTTCGAAAACATTTATTGTGTAAAAAAACCTACAAAAAACCCCAAAACGGCTTGCTGTAATTTGCCTGCTTATATAACAGTATTCAAATACATTCCGGATGAAACAGGATAGCAGGACATGAACCGCGCTGTAATATACAGCCCAACTTTCCAGCCAAGTGTTGTGACTCCTATTTTTTCACAAGTTTAGTTGAATTTTTTTTTCCAAGACTTTTAAACTGTTGTCATTATCAGCCATTTGAGTTACAAAATGTTTTCCGAAACAGTCCTTGACTCAACGTTTTAATCACAGTATTATGAAACAGAAAACATCATAACAATAATTTATTGGACTTAAGACAGATAACAACCCTAGCACAACCTACAGTATGGTTTGGGTAAAGCAGCGTTTTGGAAAAATGGGAATAGGATTATCCTTATCAGGGTCATGGGGGGAGGGGAGCACTGCAGCCTATCCCAACTACCATAGGCTGAGAGGCGGTGTCCACCCTGGACAGTTAGCCTGGCTAACACAGAGAGAAAGATAACCATTTGCACTCACATTCACACCTATGAGTGCATTAGAATCACAAATTAACCTAACCCCACTAACTGCATGCCTTCAGACTGTGGGAGGAAGCCAGAGTACCCAGACAAAAACATGCAAAGTCCACACAGAAAGGCCCTGGCCTGGTGGTGGAGTCAAACTCAGGACCTTCTTGCTGGGAGGTGATAGTGCTGGACCACAGCGCTGCCCTGAATAATTTTCTATGTGTGTTAATTAGAATAAATATTTTCCTTGTTCCCTGATTGCAAAGACCTGCGAAAACACTTAAATTCTATTATATAATTTTACACATTTATCTTGTAGAAAAACTGAGACGTGAACACTGAACACTGACAGGAAGTGCAGTTTCACTCTTCCAGCCCGCAACAGAAGTAGGCTGAATGTGACCCTCAAGCTAAAATGAGTTTGCCATCCCTGGCTTAGAGGGTTATTCCTGTTGGTCAACTACTTTCTTCTTCAATTTATGGAGCATAGCACAAAGGTTGTGTGATTTGACTGTCTCTGAGTAACCACTGAAGGCATGATGCTTATGGTCAGTGTTTTCACAGAGCTCGAGCTGTTTTTTTGTTTTTAACCACGAGATTCATTTTCCCACCCGAGACGTATTTACCTGTTCTCCCCTGTGTCTGATTCATCTTTGGCTTCTCATTGTCTCTCAAGTTTCAGTTCACGAAAAAGTGATGGACTCAACGTGATCAACATGCTTTTTCAGAGGAGATTAGATAAAGAGGAGCCAACTGTGAACAGGAGATGGTGATACGGCCGACTCTCTGTGGTTTCTCTTCAGGCAAGTGGCTGGGACTGAAACATGTAGGTGAGGAAAGGAAAGAAGAGGAGGATGTGAGAACTTCCTCAAACTGTTTGCAGTTTCGCTCTTTTGGACACGGTGGTCGTCGCTGGTCAAAATAGAGAAGCTGCTGTTCTGCATTTCATCTGACAAGAAATGACTGTTTACCTGAACTGGCATGATTATATGAGATGTAGCCCACAGCACATACGGTGGACTGAAGCATAGTAAGTAATGTTTATAGTCACATTTTGCTCATTTCTTTATAATCCAGCAATCTTAAGTGCGAGTTATCCCACACAGCGCATTGTACAACATTTTTTCATGTAGTATTTCTATTTTCAGTGAGACTTCTGCAACGAGGAGAAACAATGCTTTATTCTGAGTCATACAGACATATGAAGCCTTTGTCTGGGACACCCACTGTGTCCGTCACTGCTGTTTGATCACAACCTAAAAGAGAGAAGGGGAGAGGTGTTTTCTCTTCCTCTTCCTCTGCTTTGAAAGAGAAGCAGGAGGATAGAGGCAAGCTTTCTGAAACTCGCAGCAATCATTTCTCGCTCGGTATGTGCGAGACGGAGAGAATCGAAATTTAGCATCTAGGCTCATATGCTTTAAAGACATTTGCAGCGATGTTTATAAGGCATTTAGTGAGAAAAAGCATCAAGTTTGTGTATTCAAGCTTTTATTTCAGTATTTATTCATCAGAATCATATTCAGATCACCAACATTGCAATAAAACACAGAAATATCTCCAAAAAAGAGCATGTGCATAAAAAACAATCGAGACATAGAATGTAAAAAAACAAAATCATTTTAGCTTTTTTTTTCAATTGTGTCTGTCAAAAACATTTTTCATCCAGTTTTTTGCTGACTTTTAGAACAATATCACACAAACATGAGTAGAGCATGTACAATGGTGTGATCAGTAACACTTAAAATTTTAATATCACAGATTAGATTCTGAGTCAAACCAGAGTTACATATTTAAGAAACATTTCAAAATGATTTGTAAAAAACTAAAACATTAAATATCTGTTTGCATTTTATTTACATTGCACGTTTCCAGCCAAAGCTTCTGTCAGTCACTATTAATGATAATTTGATATGTTTTTTACATGCAATATTCTTCACAGCTTGTATTTATTCTTGATTTTTTTGCTCTGGTAATAAACAACAAGTTCATTCGCTGCTACTCACCACCCTTCCCTAATCAGAGATGTTTGGAAGCATACATATTGTCGTTGCCCTCCAAAACAACCACTTAGTTTTAAACAAGAAACAATTCTGAGTCTTTGACTCACTTTTCTTCATGTTTGTCTTCTTCACCGTTTGACCCGTAAACTCTTTGAGCAATGCGCTCGTATTTGTTTGTCTCTTCCACATCGATGGCCTTGTGAAAGTTATCCAACTTTTCTTTTCTTTGTTTTGGTTCATCTAGCTCTTGCTGATGTGCTTCTTCTTCTTCTGAGTCATATTCATATGACTGTCTACGGACCATTTTTTGGCGGCACACCTGCTCACCTAATTCTGCATCTGATTCATAGGATGTCTCGGACTCCAATAGCTGCACCTTGTTACCTCTGGGAACTTTAGATTGACCTTCTGCTACTGACTCCCTCTCAAACGTCTCATCCTCTAAACTTTCCTGGTACTTCTGCTGTTTCTGTCTCTTGCCTTCCCTCGGTTCACCAGGGGATCCCTGCCTTCTTTCCTCCAGCTCAGGGATGTACTGAGCACCTGCTTCCTCGTGGTGGTCTACTTCAGGGCTGTACTGGCTCCTTCTGTACAAACTCTCCTCATCCTCCTCCTCCTGACAGGAGCTTCCCGGGACGCTCTCACCATCAGACTGGGAGAGACGGAGGCTGGGCAGACCCGGGGGTTTCTGGGAGAGGTCAAACGGTTCCTCTTGGCTGAAGTGGGTGAGGAGGTCCATCGGGGTGGTCAGACAGAAACGCCCTCTTTGCCTAAATACTGAAATCACAGGGAGAAAAAAAAGTTACATTTCACAACAAATTTTACTAAAATACATAAACAATATACATCATCAGCAGTGTGTGCACACTTACGTCTCTCATCCAGGCCTCTGTCCATGACACCATGTTTAACCTTCATGTGTCTGGTGAGGTTCCCCTTCAGTGTGAACTTGCTCTGGCAGTATAGGCATTTGAAGGGTTTGCTGTCTGAGTGGAGATGCATGTGGCCCATTAGGTTGTGCATCCTGTTGAATTCTTTCCCACAAAGCTGAAAGAGAAGAGAGAGAATACATGTCCAGATATTAGGAACTCATTAAGACCTCGGGTTTAATTTGACACATTATTAACAGTGATGCATAGGCTATGCATCCTGAATCATTCGCAAGGTTTCTCAGGTAAGTACATTTTAATCTCTCGCTTTTATTTCAAGTCATTAAAAAAAATAAGTGAATATTATGTTAACAACCCATCCAGTTGCCAATTTTCTGGCTTGAAAAGTGAAAAGGCCAAGATATTTTTGTATTAAAATTTACATTTTATCAATACAATGTAAAATTCTGAATTCGAATTTTTGCTACAGTTTGAATAATATAAACACACACAAGCATTAATACCTTACAAACCTTATAAACTATCTGCAATAAAAATAATATTTTAAGCTCATTTGTAACAACTGAAGTGGTCAGATGAATGGAGGGATTAAAAACAAAGCATATTTCTCAGATTCAAATTCAAAGTGTAAGAATCGAGTATTAAAGGTGATACTCTAGCTTTTCATCAGTGACTGTAGTAAACACTGTGTCCACATCCAACAATAACAAGCAAGCCCTAATTACCTGTTATTTTTCTCTCTACCAGATCTCCTTTGTTAGATGACTAATTTTCTCAAATGCTGAGTTGCAGAGTTTACACGTAATCATGAATGAATGCGAAGTCTTTCAGACATGCATACATACACACATTCTTTCTCCCTCCTTCTATAGTTATTTTCCTCATTTCCTCTCTGTCTTCCCCCCTCACACACAAGCAAGGACACACACACACAAGAAAAACAGAAAGAAAAAGACAGAGAGAGAGAGAGAGGAAGCAACACTGAGACAGGGCCAGGAGGAGAACAGGGAAGGGCAACTCCTGTGCTGTCCTTCCTCTGCATTCTTTTTTATAAGGGTGGTCCTTTCCTTCAGGAGGAGAGAGGGACTGTAAACTGTCCAAGAGGACCGTGAGAAAACAGGAAGCTGCCTCCAGCAGCAGAGAAAGCGAGATGAAATCTATTTGCGGGGCTTGTTCTCCGGGGAGGCCAACGGGCCATTGTTAGAGAGGCAGTTTGTGCGGCGATATCCTTCCTATGGACAAGGAGGCTCCCACTCCCATAAGCCTCTCTGCTATCTGGTCATCGTCTCAGTCCTCAAGTTGTACCAAAAACCAAGGTCAAAACAGACAAATTCTTTAACAGCAGCTGCCACTACAAATTACAAGCCTAGTTCCTGGCTGTGATTATCAAGACTTGGATTGTGTAGCTTGCAAAAAGGGAGACACTTGCATTTTAGATGCCTTTATTTACTCCTTATAGTAAAATAACTGAGTATTAAAGGCATAAAATGAAACTGAAATAGCAACCAGACCTGTAGCTAACAATGACCTGCTGCTTCTCATCTTACTACAGTTCGTGCCTTCTACTGATTACCAGTGAAAGTATGTATTTGCTTCATATGTAAATAAATATATATGTTTTACAGCTTGCATTTTTCTAACAGCTGTTTTATGTTTTTAAGGCCTATTTATGATGTCATGATTTGTGTATTGCTGTAAATGTAATAATAAAATAACATTTTGTCCATTACACACGTGTCTAGCTCATTAACTCCTCTTAGCAAGAAGAGTGGAAATAGCTATCCTCACTCTGTCCCCCAAAAATGTTCCACATCAAGCCCTTTGCTACATGGGATTACATTTCAGTGTGATAAGATAAATATTAAACTTTATAAGTCACAGTAGATGATTTTACTGCTTTCAGACATACCTGGCAAACTGTTTTGCTTCATTTTCTCTTTTTGTTGGAGGCTTAAACTGTGGTTTAGTGGTTGCTAACAGCAATTTCATAATGATATCCTACAAATGTGATGTTACACTTTTACCAGTTTGCCCTTTAGAGGAACACTGCTGGAAACTAGCTCAGTCATATGGTGTAGAAACACTGTGGCTCGATTTTGTTGTGATAGGGCAGGAAAGGGCTAGTTTTTTTGTCATACTGATAATCCTGTCTTCACTTGGGTTGCCAGTTCTGTGGTTTTCCTGCTGAGGGGGGTGACTTTTTTCTGTGCAATTTACAGACTGTGGGTAATTTTTCTATACTTCAGGAAAAATAAGAGTATCTCTATAATTAAAAAATCTCATTTAAATGAAATAATTGATTCCTGCCAAACCGACATCATGGACGCACATATGGACACAAAATGTGCCATACTGACCTCCAACACCTCCAGTTACTAACTGAATACAGAGCAGGTTTTGACAGGCCAGGGAGATGTCATGTCATGTAAGTTAAATTACAAATTTATATTCTTCTTCTCCTATGGACTTTGTCACTCCATAATGAGATCACCTGACAGCGCAGACATGAGTCATACTTACTGAGGCCACTAACGTGCTTTGTCATTCGAACACGTGAACCTTTGGGAAATTTGCTGTACAGAAGGCCAAAAGAAAGAGCCACATCTCACATGCCAAACTCGACCAACCTTGCATTTATAGGGCTTGATGTCCGAGTGGACGATCATGTGAGCCTTTAGAGTCTGTTTCTGGACGAAACTCTTAAAGCACATGTGGCACTGGTAGGCCCGAATGTTGGTGTGGATGAGGACGTGACGCTTCATGTTGGCCAACAGGGTGAATTCACGACCACAGATGCGACACTTGTGCTCCTTCACCCCCTGAAGAACAAGATAACGTGGAAGTAGTGGTGTGAGAAAGATGAGTCATTCTTCTGGTTTGCTTTAGAGAGGCCAGATCGTCCCCTGATAACAAATATGCCAGGCAGTTCCAGTGGAAATGCATTTACATTTATTTACGAAATATAAAATATCTATTTGATGAAACTATCGCTGCTACAGTTGTAAATATAATGGTATAAACAATAAGTTGTGCATTTTAGAGCTTGGGCATGCTAATACAGGACGTGTATAAAGGTGGTTTGTCTAAACTCTAATGCTACTAAAGAATAAAAACTGGATGTTAAGCAGTTAAAAGTAGCTTCAGTCAAAATTCAAGAGGAAACTGCTTCATGGCTGACATTTTTACTATCCGAAATGTAAACTGGGCAAGCTGATAATTCTTGGATGCCATTAAAAAACAAGAGAGAAAAAAAACTTTCAAATTTCATTTTTTAATCCTCATAAACCACCTACTTTATGAGTGAGCGTGTGCTGTTTCAGGTGGTGCGACTGGATGAACTCCATCCCACACTCACTGCAGATATACGGTCTGATGTCTTTGTGTTTCATCATGTGGTTCTGAAGCTGACTGGGATACTGGAAAGTCTTCTGGCACTCTGTACACCTGCACACACAGCAACCAACATTTGCAGTTAGCCTGCTGGAATGTCTCAACAATGTGGGAAATGCATATATAAAAATACACTTTTGTGCCAGGAGTTCCACGAATAATTAATATTGCGCAGAAAATCTGAGGCCATAGCCAGCAAGAGGTTAGCCTCATTTAAAATTAAAAAAAAAAAATTCTATTTCTTGGAAAGAATTAGTGGATGTCCTCAATGGGTGGAGCTTGAGCTGCTGTGCTAAGCCAACTAACTGCTTACTTTAAACAATAACAAGAATATGAACATAAGAATATGAAAGGAAGGAAATGAGCTCACCTGTACAATGTGGGACCTCGGTGGACGGTCAGGTGCCTTTTTAGCTGTGCCAGTGTGGGGAAGTCTAGACCACACTCCACACATACATTCTCTTGACCTTTTTCATGCTTCAGCTCGTGGGCTCGAAGCTCGCTGGGATAAGCGAAACCTCGACCGCACACACTGCAGCTGGAGGTGCAGAAAAAGTGTGAATGAGCAGGAAATCTAGGCATTAAACAGCAGAAACTCTATGCAATATATTGGAATGAGTGGAAATGAAAGTAAAACTGGTGTAAAGCTGGTAAAAAGTAGATTGTAAGCCTAATTCTACACAGGAGGCCACTCCACAGGCTGACAAATAGTCCAACTGTATGGAAGTCTAAGGGGAAGGGAACTCAACTGCTAAGGTGATTTGGGTTAGCTTGCGATCGACATCTGTTTGGTTTCACCACTTATTCATTACCTCCAGCTTCAGAACACCAAGATGGTGACTGCCAAGATAATCAACATCACGATGGCTACCTCTTTGACATATTGTATGTAAAAATAATTTACCTGTATGGCTTCACGTCACTGTGCTGCATCATGTGTCTCTTCAGGTGGCTGGTCTGGGTGAAGGCCTTGTGGCACACCTGGCACTTGTGGGGCCTCATTCCCTGGTGTGTGAGTAGGTGTGTATGCAGGTGGCTCAGCTGCTTAAATAGCTTCCCACACAGGTGACATCCGTGTGGTTTGATGCCGTTGTGACCCAGGATGTGTGTGACCAGGTTATACTTGGATGTGTAGGACTTCTCACACATTCGACACTTCCATCTCTTCTGGTCTCCGCCAACGTCCACATAGTAGCTGTCATCTACGTGAACATTGAGACCGAGCTTCTCAGCGCTGCTCGTACCACTTCGAGGAGCTCCTTCACGGGCGCTATGACTGGGGCGGAGGTCCTCTCTGGGGTAGAAACCACCAGGGGGGTGGTGCATGATAGGGCCAGGCATAAAGAAGGGGTAAGGGAGAAGGTTGTGGTGGAGAGGTGGGAAGTAGGGCGGGTGAAGAAGCAGAGGAGAGGGTGGCCAGATGGGGGAAGGACTGAGTGGCTCCTGTTTTACCTGCACAGGAAAATTCACATCTGGAGGTCTGTGTTGAAGCTGCAGGCTGTTGAGCTCGATCATGCCAGGGATGGGTTTTGGAGATGGAGACGGAAACGGACGAGGTGGGAGGGAAAAGGGAATGTGTGGCAGGTCCACTGTCTTCTTACTGCGGCTTTCTTCTGCCTCTTCTGCCTCCTTCTCAGGAGATTCACCTCCCTCATGGCCATCTACTTTTAAGGGAGTCCTTTTGCGTTTTTGGGATCCTTCTTTGAGGGTGTAACTGGGGCCAAGCATGGGAAAGAAAAGAGGTGGACTAAAAGCACTGTAGGCATCTCTGGTGGGTGATATGCTGGGATATCTAGCTGGAGAAAATTTGGGGGGCTGAATAAAGAGCGGAGCTGGGCTTAGGTAGAAACTGCGCTGAGATGTTTGTCTTAGCTCTTCTCGGAGGGGAGGACTTCTTCGCGGTGAGATGCTTACTCTATCTTTTTCCATCTTCTTTCTGCATGAAAATGGAAAAGAAGTTGTTAAATATCTCCAGTAACAACAGGGAAGAAAGTATTTAATCAAATCTTTTACTAGAGGGAGTCTGTTAAAGCTACTTGTGAGCTTACAAAGCTCACTTGATGATGCAGAAGGCAAGCAAGACATGACATAAAAATAAAGGGCTTTTTAGTTCTTCATATAAAATGTGGATCTTTGAAGTTTTCCTTTTAACTTTTGAGTGAGCCTGACAGTTTCATCATAATCACACAGAAAAACGGAAGCATCAAAAACTATCCCAATACTTTATCCAGTATAAAATGAATTTTCTTTCAGGAATTTACAAGAGTAAAAGTCAGGAATTGACTGGTTTAAAGAAGAGTAACAGTAACACGAAGCAAGTCCTGAAACCAGAACCAACTTCGAGTGATTACATGTATTTTCTTCTGCTGCCTTCAAATAATGTGCATTTAGACTTGCATCTGTTCTGTCCTCGCTATATCTTCGAAACTAACACGAACAACCAGTACTAATATCAATGTCGCCAACCACAGTAGAATGCAAGTCAGCAACATTGGTGTGACATCAGTGATACTTGTAACATTTACAATTGCAGGCACTATGTCTGTCTGTGGTGATGACAAGGGTGATGAGAAAATAGAAATATTTGACTAAACTACATTTAAAATGACAATATTAGTCCAACTACTGACAGAAAGAAAGTGTCAGTTTGTTTGTGCAATACATGTGTCATGCATTATATCATACACATACATTTTTTATATATTTCACTTCTGGTCCTTTTAAATAAATATATTAATATGTTCTTCACATGATCCTTTTGTGTTATTATTGGTAGGATCTATTAATATCTGTGATGTCTATTAATGTATGTCAGGTTAGAAATTGTTCTGTCATCGTATCGTCTGTGCATTTGAGTTAAATGTACTTTTAACTCAGTTCACAGAATCAAAATCTAGTTGGTTCTGGAATAGTCGCCAATGTTGCTGGGAAAAATCAAAAGAGATGTTTGCCTTGAATACACAGATTGCCTGATATCAAAATAAATTTGAAAGTACAAAGGCTGAACATTTTTAGTTAGTAAGGTGATTACTTTGAAGATTGCTTCTGTTTGAGATTTACCCAGTTAGTATGATGTATTTTTTCAGTGTTTCATTTTCCACCCTCTTCTGTTACTATTTCCCCCATCAAGGGCTCAGTTGTAAAACTCTGGTTTCTTGCATTAAAATAGGTATTTTAGCCCTGTTCCCATTATTGACAAGATATCAGTTGTACTATTAGTTGGTGCACATTTGTGTTTTGTTTATCAGGAGATGACAAGTGTATTTCAATTAGCTTGTGAGGAAAATGTTTTTAAAAAATATATATTACATTTGTCCCCAGTATCCACTAGTTTTAAATGTTTCACACATTAACACGTATTTAATGGGACTCTTTATACACTCTTTATAAGAATGACACAATCAGAAATAACTGCTACTGACTACACAAAAACGCATCCATCTTATCATGCTTTCTTGACATTGATGGGGGGAAACACCATAAAGGTGAAGAAAGGATTTAGCAAAAAACAACGTGGTGCAAAAACAAGCTGGTTAAACCTCAGAAATCTCAAGCAGGAACTCATATCTATGAGGGGCATTGCCATTTTGCAAAATAATACACTGTGAATGACTGGTTTGAAAATCAGTAATATACTTTCCATCATATGCATTTATTTTAATTCTTAATTTGAAAAATAGCAAGTAGCTGTCAAATAAAATCTATACAAATAAGGAAGTAAATAAACTATAAATACCTCACATTTGCTTTCACGTTCAGTTCTTGCATGTGTTTACTTTCCACCACTGCTTACATACATATATTTCCAGTTGTAACATTTGGAGAAAGACTTGACAAAAGTGCATCAAATGAAACTGTGTCCTGTTTCTATTTATGACATGAAACCACTTCTCTGAAGATTCCTGTGGAAGGAATGCAAGCGGACACACACACGCATGCACGGTGTGCCGTTGACACCCACACCTTTCAGGTTTCAACCTGAAACCTTTCACTTCTTCGTTTCTCACAGATCTTCTCCTTGTCTGAAATTAGGAAGTTATCTGTGAGAAGTTCGCCTCTACCTCCTGGCCCCTTTTCGCTTCTCCATCTCTTTTTCTCTGTGCTCTTCATCCTTCTTTTTTTTCTTTTTCTTTTTTGGACTGATAGCCAAAACTTTACTGGAGTTCACTTAAGCAAAATCACAAAACTGCAGTTTGCATCTGTATGATATAGAAATATAGAATAGATGATTGTAATGGATGTAAAGATGAAGATAGTCAGAGGGGAACTATCTTACTTCTGCATGACATTTAAAATAGTGGTGCAGATTAATTCTATTCCTGTTAACACTGTAGTGCTTATCAGTGAGAAACTGCTGAGACCTGTACCAGTCCACTGCTTGCATGACTACAGTTTCCACTTCATGTTTGTCACAGGTTACATACCTGTTGGCTTTTAAAATGTAAACATTTTAAAAATACCCAAGGCTTCAATTTATGAGTATCAAATTTTAAGAAAACACCTGCTACAGTTTCCAGAAATTTAAAGAGACGTCTTACATTTTCTCATTTTTTCTGGCAAAAACGAAAAAAATTGTAGTAACGCAAATCAAAGAAAAAAATAGCAAAAGCTCGTAATGTGGAGGTTGTAATTCCATCACATTTTGGCATTTTTGCTTGACAAACATTTTAACTGATGAATTGAAAGCAAATGTTGATCTCAAATCAAGGATCAGCTTTCTAAGTATTTCAGCTCAACATCTGCATCCAGCTTTGCATGCATTCTTACAACACAAACGTCATAAAAGCTAATGTGACGATGAAATGAAAACCAGTGAAACTTTGACATTTAAATCCACCTCAACAAATAATTAGCATTTTACTTCTGGAAAAACATTAAAATGACACATTTCTACCAGTAAATTTCCCTTTCACAGATACATGGATGGAAATTCATAAAAATCAATCTACAGGAATAAAAAAAAAACAACAACAACAAGATGCCAAATGCAAAAACTGGATTTTTCTGCCTCTTTCCAGGATTTTCAAAGAGCCCTAGACGCCTGCTGAAGTTTTGGGTCTCTCCTGGACATTGTCCTGCTCTTTTATCCTCTTCACTACTCTTAGTTAAGTTGCTCTGTGCAGAGACCCCAGCCTGTCCTCGCCACACCACGCATTCCAAACAATCCATTAGACCCGAAGCCCCTCCTCATGTGCCAGTCAGTGCCATGTAAGTGTGTGCTGTGTGCGGTTGCAGCATATGTCTGTGCGTGTGTAACTTACCAGTTGAGTGTAGCAGAGTGTGTGTGTGTGTGTGTATTTTCTCTGTGATGCTGGGGCTGAAGTGCTGCTGCAGTAGCTGCTGCTGTACCTGTGCCTCTCTTCTCTCCCTCCTGCTCGCACTGCAACTCTCCTGACAATGAGCCGCCTGTCCACGGATAGCATTTGAACTGACTTAAGAAAGAGAACAGGAACAATCACTTTGTTCTCATTTTTCAGATGAGTACCTTCGGAGAGAAGGAAGGAAGGGAGGGGAGAGGAAGTCAACAAGCCTAGTGCCTTCCTGCAGAAAAATAAGGAAACACTAGATAGACATCTCTATTTCTCTATGAAATAGGGATTTGCATAGCCTTTGGAGGAATGTGGGGAGGAGGGTGCTGATGTTTCACTTGAAAACAGCACAATTTCTAGGTTTAATAGCTGCAAAGTGACATGTCATGATGGAAGATAGCAATGCTTTCGATTAATCCAGCTCAATGAGATGTATCTTAAAACTGGCTGTTTTCATATTTATAAGCAAATAAGTATCTTTTTTTGTTATAGATAAAATAGAACATTTCTTGAGCTTATGAAATAAATATTGTCAAAGGTTCTTGATTGTTATGTACATGTTCATCACAGATTGCCAGGGAGACACTGCAATGTGTAATATATCAAATTACAGGAGAAAAAACATGTGAGCCATGATGTGTTTTATTCCCTTTTTTCTTTTTTCTTTTGAAATTGTATTTTTTTCATGCATTGTGTGTGTTGCTCTGGTAATCAATTGCAGGATCACCTTAATCAGTTTTCCCATTATTTTCTCCACTTCCCACAAAACACGTGGCAGATGGAAACAGCAGCAATGAAAAATGTACAAATAGATGACATGCGTCAGCACAGCCACTAGGAGGCAGGAGTGGCCTATCTGTCTACAATGCCACTTTATTGTCCTGTTTGTCATCATATAGCGTTTGTAGCTACCTGTCTCTGGTTGTGAAATCTGAGTAAATTAACATCCCACGCGTTTCTGTTGGCACAGAAGTTTTTGAACAATGACGATGTTAGCCGCTTTTTAATTGAGATGAGGTGGCAGTTAGTAAATCAGGAGGGAGCTGCAGTAATTGAGCTCATATCATTGAAACGGTGAAACTGTCTTTTATGAGATGTGGCCAATCATTAGCTGTGTTAATTAGCTCATGAGACCAATTAACCTCGGCCCTGGACAATGTGTGCATCAATTCCTCTGAGGAATTAAGGACTTTATTAATAGAAAGGGAAATTTTCAGGTGTGCATATGTGTGTATATACGTTTGTGGGTATGTGTGTTTCTTGCTTTGTTGTTGAGTTTGTTTACAAACTCTGCAAGAAGCATTGCTTACCGACATGGTGGCTCATCAGGCCAGAAATGTTCTGTCAACCTTTAAAACCAGCTTTTTCACTCTCTCCTGACCTCCCAGGGGTAGTAATAAAAAGTTGAATCCTTAAAATTAACTTTTTTTTGTTCTTTAAAAAAAAAATTAAACTGGTGCTACCCTCTTGTCCCGTCCTGCTTTGAATAATTTCATCGCTGCCTGCTCTTCTTGACCTCTCTGACTTTCCTAACATCTCTAACATGCACGGTCACGCAGCAGGAGCCCTTAACTAATGATCTCCAATAGGAAGAAGCAAACCAGGCCACACAATTACCAGGCCCTTTGACCTGGCCCACACAGTGGTCAGCTTCATCTGCTAAGGTGATTAAAAAGGCCTCATTAAGGATTTCTAAGTGGCTTTTAAGTTTCTGTGTCACTCTCAAAAGGTGCTTTGGAAGTATATAAGACACACCAGCAACACCGTATGAGACAGAGAAGTCAGCAGTCATCCAAGAGCAACCTAAAGAGGAACTTGAGCTAACAAGTGTGTACATTTGCTCTCTGTGAAGCGTGGATTTTGTGGTCAGCCTTACTAAGTGTTTTTTTCTCTGTTTTTCTCTTCCATTCTTAGCAGAAATGACCGGAGCTGCTGTGTCTGTGTGCCTGCTTTTTCTCCTGTCTGTATGTTCAGCGTGTTACATCTCCAACTGCCCTATCGGAGGAAAAAGGTCCATAATGGATGCACCACTGCGCAAGGTGAGCTCAATCAGTCAGTCAATAGGTCTTTAACTTTGCAGCTTTTGAAGCTTCTGACAATATTATTAGCAAACTGGCACATTTTTCTCTTCATTCATTTATTCAGATAATGCAAAGCCTAAAGAGAGATTTGGGTGACATGCATGTGAAAAACTTGGGTCAGGGGCCAAAACCATCAGAAAGAAAATACAAACTGAGAAAGCCTAAAAATGCTTTATAAGGTAGTAAATTATGGTGACGTTCAAAGCAACACCAAAAATAAT